AAAAAAAAAAAAAAAAAAAAAAAAAAAAGAATGTAACAACCCTCTCTCTTTGTCTATTGCCAGAACATTGGAGATCATTTTCGTTTGCCGCGGATGAAATTCACAGTTCATACATTTGCACGTTTAGTATCTATCGATAAGAAGGAAGCACGAGCAGAACGCTAAATAGATGGGGGGAAAAAAAAAAGAAAAAGAAAAAAAAAAGAAGGAAGTCCATCTGCGTTATATTAATTCTTACTTACAATGTTTATCGACACATTGAGAACGCATGTAATGCAAGTGAATTTTAGCAAATTCACGTTCACCGTAATGTTAAAATGATGTACACGTACATATATATATATATAAGTACCAGTAATGGCACTTTTCATTTGCACACTCGGATCACAGATGTATCGCACACGGCACTCTGTTTCGATAGAAGAAGATAGCGGTACATGATTTCGTTAGTGACGCTAAACGTAACGAAACGTATTCATGCAGGACGTTGAAACTACGAAAGTATGATAGGCGTAAGCTTTTTTTTTTTTTGCAATAGAGAAGAAAAGAAATTGCGAAAACTATTAGCAGATATAGACGTTGCGAATACAGAAAAATTTATTATATTATATATAAATATTATATTATATTATTATTATTATATTATATTATATTATATTATATTATATTATATTATATTATATTATATTGTATGTTCGCCCCGTTCGAGGGTGGAAGCGCGAAACAAGCAAAAAAAAAAAAAAAAGAAAAAAAAAGAAAGTTATATACAATAATAATAAAGAAAATGAATCTATACGTTCGCACGCATTATCGTCGGTCGTCGTTGGCTGTACATTTGCTACAGTGTACGCACACATGTACCTATTATTATCGATGCCTGATGACGATAAGGACGATAACAATTTAATAATAATAATTATTATTATTTTTATTTGTTTTTATCTAATTGTAGTTTCTTTGTAACTCTTTGTGATATACAACTGCAATAGTCTATCCGACCGTTTATTTCTTGTATCGATTAGCGGAACCTTCATTAAAGGAAGACAGAGAAAGACCACACGTCTCTCCGTTCAGCCGATCGTCCTTTCTTTTCGCGTATGGAGACCATGCTCTTCACCGAACGGCTACATTTTCTCAATTAAAAAAAAAAATCGCTCGATCGAGCATGGGAAATCGGGGCAAGACTTTCCACCTCATGTTTCAGCTCATTCAGAAACCGAGCTGAAAAACCGTTCCACGAAATTCCAATTTTCGTGCAACAACGAAACATTGAAATCTCCTCCGTGTCCCAGAAAAACGACCCAAACCCTAATGACTAATCTCTCGAAAGCCGAACACGATACTAACATACTCCTGTTGTGCCTGTTCTCTTTCCATGTCTGGCCAGACCAATTGTCGAGTCTGCCGAGTGACATCACGTTCGAGATTTGCACGTCGTCGTCCTCGTCGTCGCCGCCACCGCCGCCGCCGCCACCGCCGCCGTCGTCGTCAGCCACGGCGCCTTCGACGACGGCGATGAGGAGCAGCGAGGAGACCACGTTTAACGAGGGGAACACGACGGACAGCACGTACGTCAAATCCGAGCGAGTGGTTAGCGGGATGCACTTCCTCACCGACCGGGAGGAGGATCGTGGTGATCTGTTGCTACCAAAGTCGGAGTCAGGAGAGGCCGAGCCGGAGGTCAGGAAACAGGTTGGTTGGTCTGCTGCTTTTGATACTGCTCCGGCAGGCAGTGCACCAGCTGTGCCACCTGGCTTCGTTCGGAGGACGAGCACGAGGAGGAGGCGCAGCTTATCGCCACGTCCTCGCGGCGACCGCACCAACAGAAACGGACAGAACACCAGGAGGCCGCTCAGAAAGCTCGCCTCGCCGCGGATTTGAGATAGGCTGTGCTTTCCA